AACACTGTAGTAATTACAAAAAACACAATAAAACATACATCAAACGAATGCCCATGATTAATATTCCAGTAAGGGGGTGTAGTCATCTTCTTTCACGAACGAGTCTAGTCTAGGCCAGAGGTTCAAGCACTTAGCCTGTCAAGGTGATCTTTACCACCACCTTTTGTTGTGTAAGTGGATATGTCAGTCAAAGGTAATTGTCTCTTCAGACCTCGGCTTCCAGTAGCAAACAGACTTTGGTTATTGTCCTATCTAAACAGTTGGTCTTAGTCTTGATAAGTAGCCTTCGTACTAGTCCTTTTCTGTCTTTTGCCCTTTGATCTTCTGGTATTGCTGTAATCACGGCACGTCGATTACTCGTCCATTTAGTCAACTTGAAACCTTCTCGATAGCTTCCAGACTGAACTGCCCTTCATTGTCCTCAGCACGTTTTCTAAGTGCAAAACTAGCACAACTTGGTGATGAAGTTGCACCAAAGAGATGCGCCTTCATTCTGAAGTCCACCAGTTCTTGTGCAAAGTCGCCATCGGGCCACCAGAGAAACCTCAGCAAATCCATGGACTCTATTTGTGGCAAGATTATCACTGGTTCCTTCCTGAATCTGGTCACGACACCTATCAATGAGCTGGTGAGATCTGGTCCCTGCTGGAGCTGATCATTGGGAGATGTCATCTGGAAAGGTGCTCCGCTGTCGAACTCCACCCGCATCATCCCCTTTCGAGGGTGGTAGATGCCATGGTGTGGGATATACCACAATCTCCCATCATCACGAGTCGGTTCCTCCGCAGATACTCGCTCAGCATATCCTTTGGAGACAAGATTGTCCACAAAGTCTGCATACTGCAGTCGGAAAGACATGTGTCTCTGCGACTTTTCTGTTATTTTGGATGTTTAATTTACATTCTCTTAGGGACAATGCAATCTGGTAATGTCCGTTCACAAGGCTCGCTGAATTTCTGACCAGCTTCATGAATTTTTGGTCTTCCCTTGACAAAGCAGGTTGCTCCTCGTGGCTGCATTCTGGAAAATCAGTTTTGAACTGTTGCTGCCAGAGCTTATCCGAGTTTGAAACTGAAACTCTATTGACTGTGACAATGTCAAATCCATCACGGCTGTCTCCTACCAATGGTCCATTAACAGTCCACCCTAGAATTGTTTTGATGGCATAAGGTCCATCGTTCAGGCTACGGATCGCTTCTAATGGTTCCAAGGCCTTTGGCACATTTGTTCCTATTAGCAGCTCGATTTCTGCCTCAATCTCTGGCAGATGAACATGTCGCAAGTGAGGCCATCTCTGAAGATCCTGTCGACGTGGGATATTTCCCTTATTGACGGGCATACTCTCCTGAGTGAAAGTACTTGGCAGTTCGCAAAATATCTCACCATCCAGACCAGCCACCTCGAGATCTGTGACTAATTGGGTGTTCATGACCTTCTCTTGACCCATAGTACGTAAAAGGATACGAGTTTTCTTTCCTGTGAGATTAAGCCTATTCATTAAGTTCTCAGTGCAGAAAACAGCAGTGCTTCCTTGATCTAGGAAAGCATAAGTGAGCACTGTCTTATTACCATTCCTAGACTCAACCTGTACTGGGACTATGGGAAGTTTACAATCTTCCTCACCAGCCCCAGTGAGGCCATTGGACATTAAGGCTCTGCCCACTGCCGTGCCTGGCTCTTGTTCAGTTTCAGATTTTGCTTGCTTCTCCTTAAACTGAATATGAATCATTGTGGGGTGCTTCATACAACACACTTGGCATGTCAACCGTTTTTGACAATCTTTGCTGATATGTCCTGTACATAAACAGGCAAAGCAAACACCATTTTCTTTTAAGAATGTGATATTTTCGGTGCGAGTCTTCTCTTCCAGGTGAGGGCATGACTCTAGAGCAGTGGTTCTTAACCTTGTTGGAGATACTGACCCCCACCAGTTTCATATGCGCATTCACCGAACCCTTCTTAATTGGAAAAATACAATTCAAAACATAGAAATATATTTTACTGGTGCACAAAATGAACCGTTCATCAACATCAGTGTTCAAAGAACAAAACCATTAAAACAATTTTTAATACTTCTGCCAGTTTTGGAGGCAAGGTTTTTGTTGCCAACGCATGCCTGTGCAGAATACAATGAGTAACAATGATGTGTGGTGCATCGGCTTTCACTAGCGCACCAAAACCAGACTTTTTTCCGAGCATGACTGGAGCTCCGTCCGAACAAACTGCAGAAACCATATCCCACGAAAGATTGTTGTCTTTGAAGAAGTCATCCATAGCGTAGAAATACAGCAAGCTTGCTTAGATTGGAAACGTCTGTGGTCTCGTCCAGTTGAAGGCTGAATTTTGCCGGGCTTGAAATCAGATCTGCAACTACTTGAGCCAAGATGTCTTTGCTCATGTCTTCTATTCTGTCGCTAATGGTGTCATTTGAAAGAGGAATTTGGGATAACAGGACTTCAGCCGCATTTCCCAGCATGATATTCGCCATCTTCAACACAGCTGGTTTTATGAGTGTTTCACCAATGGTGTGTGGTTTGCCCTGCTTTGCGATCAGGTAAGCAACTTTGTACGATGCTGTGAGGATTGGTTTGTTGATGGGTACAAAGCCGAGAACAGACAGAGTAGCCTTTTCATCGAATCTGGCTCTCTTCACCTTGAATTCAGCGAGCGTTGTGTTCTTGTATTGTCCATCTCCATGCAGCTTAAGGAAGTGTTCTCTTAGTTTTGCCGGTGCTAGACTAGAATTGCTCAACTTGGCATTGCAAATCATGCAGTTAGGACGCTGACTCCCATCACGTTCCGTTATACATGTGAATCCATATTGTACATATTCGTCCAACCACTTTCTTTTTTTGCTCGACATAGTTAGTATGAAGGGATTCAAATATTAAGAAAGAAATCACACGATGTACCATCACGACAGTCACAATTTGACTACTGAGCGCGCCAAATTCCCTGCAGCACAGATAGGCCAAGCGATGTTGCGTGATCACCTGCAGCCAATGGTGGCCAAGCGGGGCGTGTAATCACGAATCATATGAGTCGGGTGTGTGTCTTGACCTCCGCCGAACCCCTGAGACCGACTCACCGAACCCCTGGGGTTCGATCGAACCCAGGTTAAGAACCACTGCTCTAGAGTGTGTTCACCTTCACAAAACAGACAATCTTTGATGGGTAAGGCAGTGTACCGTTTCCATTCCCGTGTTCCAATATTCCTATTTTCGACGGTGGTCGCAGTTGTAGCGAAAATACTTCCTTTGGGTTTAAAGATGGTTCGATTCATACTTTTACTTAATGCTGGTGCGGGGTCTTGGATATTCCCGAACACTGGGTGTGTTAGAATTCTAACTTGCCTTTCAACAAAATTAACAATGTCGCTGAATGTGGCCCTTTGGTTACGGCTCTCTTGTATTTCGCAGGCTACTGTTCTCCAGCAATCCCAAAGCTTGTATGGCAATTTCTTTACTATTGTAAGCATATTAGCGGGCATATCCAGTTCATACATATACTGTATGCCGTTCATCACGTTGCTACAGCTTCGAAGAAACAAACCCGTAATCCTGTAATGCATTAACATCTTCGGATCTTATTGGGGCCCATGACAGAACTTGGTCCATATAAGCAGTGGCAATTATTTGCTCATTACCGAAGGGTTCCTGCAGCAAAGCCTTAGCTTGAGCATAACCCCTTTCAGGGTCAACATGCTGACAACTTCGTACAAGTTCCCTTGGGCGACCTCTAGTGAACTGTTCAAGGAAATACAGGCGATCACTGCAATTGCTCGACTTGCTTTCGACACCATTCTCAAAAGCACTTATGAAAGTGTGAAACTGTAATGGGTTGCCATCGAAATGCCATTTGTTGATGCTGTACCAGCAAGGTTGTTATTTCATTTTGCCTTTTCATAATTTCAATAACGTCGTTTTGACCACTTCGGCCTAAAGGCCCATCATAGCTAAAAGTGGTTCCATGCTCGTGCATATGGTGCTGAGAAGTAGAAAGTTGAACATGTGAACTTTGGGTGGCCATTCTGACCTTAGCTCTTGTGGCTGGGTCGCTGATGCTATTCGTGACTTGCTCGTCCCTCTTAGGTGCTGCCAACATCTGAGGAACAAATGTAGCAGCATCAGCTCTCAGCTGCATTGACTGTGTTTGTGCTTCACTAAAGTAAGAATTCATGTTATCGGATTGTCTTGCGCTGCCTTTAGAACCGGTCATGCTTGCTGCCCTTAGCACGCTCACTTTAGCCATGTATGCAGCGATTTCCTCGTCCATCTTGAGTCTCTCTTTTCCTTTTTGTATCTTTTCCTCTTCCTCCTCCAGCGCATGTTTGTCCTTCAGAAATCCTTGTTGTGCCATTAGTGCTGCCAGGTCAGCTTCAGCATTTATGCGAGCAAAGAAATGCTTGATATAGATGACCTTTGAGAGCTTCTGGCCGTGGCCCGGCTTCCCACGTTGGATATGCTGTCAGATGGATAGATATGAAACGTAACCTTAGGTGTTTTTAAATGACACAAGATTTATTTTGGATCACTACAATGGAAGAATACAAGGCGCGATGAATTTTGAGGCGCGGTAAACGCCACTTCAAGGTGCGTAAAAGCTATTTCCAAAATTCCAGAGGTGCGTAAACGGCGTTTACGTGCGTTCACCCTCCACTGCAGCCCCGCATGCATCTCGCACGGATTTCTAGCATACGCACGGTCCATTGCGTTGACTCTTACTGTGAAAATCTATGTACTTACGGTTTAGCGGCTACGCCTCAGTTTTTACGGTAAAACGGACTATGTACAAATCATTACTACAAAATGCTACTTTGTTTGGACTTATCAAAGAAAAAAGAGTGAAATAGTCCTACTTTTGAATACATACCCACTGATTTGGGTTTTTGTAGAAATAAAATCATCAACAAATATTTAATCAATTACAAGAACTTGCAGTCTCTTGTCTCATGTGTTTTTAATTGGCCTCACTATATCCTTCTGTCTGACCCATTGAAGCTCGAGGGCCGCTTTAGCGATCAGCCCGACACAAAATGTGAAGAAGAAACGTCCACGGAGGGGGAGGAAAGGAACAAGCTGGCCTATTGTGTGACGGATGTACCTCCCTGGTACCTGTGCATCATCCTCGGCATCCAGGTACATCAGCAAAGAATTTTTGAGGCTATTATTTCCTTGTTAGGTGACCATGTGTCATAGCTTCTGATTATCATGTAACAATGCAAACTTGATAGCACTGTCAGATGAGAGCCTTGATGTTTCTGTCAGCCCTGTGAGGCGGGGGACTTAAAATCTAATAAAAAAATAAGATACAAAAAAAAAAGGTACCAGCAACGCCACCTAGTTGCGGAGTCTAGGTCTCCATAAAAACAGGTCCTTTTTCACCAGAGGAAGAACAGCATGGATCACAAGACTTAAAAGCGTGGTTTAAAAGGAGGATTTTATTATTAACTAAAAACCCATTGATAACTACAATTGTATTAAAAGTCCAGCTGGATAAAAGTGCTAAAAGAGATTAAGAATTCGACCAGCCACTGCTGCTGATCCGTCCTGCCCTTTCTTCTAGTTTCGGTTCCGTTCCTTTCCTGAGTGAGGTTTCCAGTCCGTCTCGTTCCTCTCCTCGTTTGTACCCTGCCTGCTCGTCCGCTGTCTTGCCGTCCTCTCGCTTGATTTCCCGTGGCTTCTCCTGCCCGTGGCTTCTCCTTTTTGTGGCTTCTCCTGCCCGTGGCTTCTGCTTTAATGCCGTGCTTAGTGTCCTTTATAGCAGCTGTGTTAATTGGAGAGGGGAGGTCCTTTCATTGTGTAATGTGGTTGGCCAGGGCTCTCTGTAATTGATTAGTCCCTCCAGGTGCATGTAGTTTACTGAAAGGTGGGTTAATACGTAAAAATGTAATAAAACAAGCCATGCTAAAATGTAATAAAACAAGCCATGCTAAAATGTAATAAAACAAGCCATGCTAAAATGTAATAAAACAAGCCATGCTAAAATACAAAACCAAACCATGCTAAAATATAACAAACCAATAATTTACAGAAACCACAATGTCCCTCTGGTGACATTTCCTTTAGGCTTCGTTAGACTTCTGGTCTTCTTTACTAAAGCACTGATTTATGTGTTTGACAGCTGTGATCTTTCAGACCTTCTTTGAAGACTTGACACAGTTGTATTTGCTCTTTTACATTATTTGCCATTACCATTTCTACGTCATTCGTCATAAGGTCATTTAAATAATATATGTTGTCTGATGACTTCTACTATCTTTACAGTTCAGACGTTTATGGATTATTATCCCCTCACAGTATCAATAGCTTGTGTAGTTCTCCTTATGTATTTCTTTATATCTTTTCTGCTAGCACTGTTTGACGGCATTTGGGGGAATCATCGCAGTCCCATTAATCCTGTCAGGGGGATTGTGTCTGCAGTATGATGGCCTCACCCAGAGCCACCTCATCAGCACCATATTCTTTGTCTCTGGTATTTGCACTCTGTTGCAAGTTACCTTCGGCGTCAGGTAAGGAAGTAAAGCAGAGGTATTCTTACGAGCAGGAAGATGTTTGAGAGATGAATGTCCAAGGATCAAAAGGATCTTATCACCTCATTTGTCAGAGTGAACTTTGGACAAGAGAATATTCCACTGTGTAAGCGGTCACGGCTTTTATTTATGGGATTACCAAAGGACAAATGGAAAACTTTCACCCTAGTATGTTTTTGAATGAGTACTTTTAGCTGCTATAGGTTGAAATGGGTAAAAACAAATGACATATTGAGACACCATTTGTTTTATAATATAACTTCACTGCACTCCCTTTTGAGTTACAACTAAATAGTTATACATATTGGCACAATATAATGCAAAACAATAAGAACAGATTGTTCTGTGTGTGCAGGCTGGCTTATTATTACTGTCACAGTGGGATTAAGGAAGGCATTTTAATCTTATTATGTCTGGAGTCCAGCTATTGCTAAATCAACATTCTCTGGCATAGTACCAATGCTGCTCGGTTGTAAGGAAAAGGTCTATTAAACAGACCAAGAAGCAAAACAAAAGCAACTCAAAAGGATTTTTGAGTTCTTTGTATTAACGATTCTCTGTAAACCATTCACTCTGTGAGAAGTTACATTGTGTACCGCATTTGCTCTAACATTTGCTTGTAATTATTAAAAAATTAACCTTGGATTACTGACTTACTAAATATAATGTTCCTTTATACATTTATTGTGGAACTCAGAGATTTACAAGATATTAACAATTGAAAACACATATAATTTTGTGTAGTGTAAAGTTCAAAGTAACCAACTCTTTCTCTAACTGTCTAACTTTCCCGTTATATGAATCGAATGTTTCATATCGAATTCAACAGCGCCTTTGGTCTAAACAGCTATTGAATCTGTAATTTGCATATAGTAACCAAAATGTGTGCGTCGTCGTGCTTGTCTTCCTGCAGCTGCAGGGGTCCATCATGGTGGGCTCACTCTTCCAGGTGTTTGGATTAAATAAGTTACGTTAAATCTGTCCCCCATCCCCCCCTTATCTCTCCAGGACCACCGTCCTGATCATTCTGTTCTCACAGTACCTCCGTCACATACCTGTGCCCTTCCCTACCTTCAGCAAGGAGAAAAGGCTGCACACCCCCATGTCTACATCTTTCAGATTCTCCCCGTATGTGACGTCGAGCACGTGGTCCAGATGTAAATCAAGTAAATGAATTTAATTAAACTTTGTTCCCTTTTCCTACGCGTCCTCAGGTTCTTCTTGGAATAACTCTTCCGTGGCTCATTTGCTACATTTTGACCATCTGCGACGTATTTCCTACTGAACCAAACCAGTATGGCCACCTGGCCCGTACCGATGTAAAGGGAGATGTTGCGAGCCGAGCTCCCTGGATCACCTTTCCGTACCCGGGTAAAAGGCCCACAGTAGTAATAAAGACCTACTTTTGGGGGGCGGGAGGGGTGGGGTGGGGGGTTGGCATGTGACCTTTGACCTCAGACACGTGCAAGAGGGAACTTTTGGGGGGTAGGAGGGGTGGGGGGGTGGGCATGTGACCGCCGCCATTTTGACCGGAAAAATGCGTCATTGAACTTTTGGGGGGTAGGAGGGGTGTGGGGTGGGCATGTGACCGCCGCCATTTTGAAGTCATGCCCCGGAAATGCGTCATTTTACGAATGGATACGTAAACCATTTTTGACGATGATGTGCTTGGTTTTGATTGGAAATTTGCCATATCAGTGGGTGTTTTATGCGATGGGCGTTAGTTTTGACCGGAAACACGGGACTGTAGGAGGGGTTTCATCATATATATAGATGTGTTATTTGGCGCCTCGATCGAACTTTCCTTTTGGAATGGTTCACGCTCCAGGATTCTTAGTGAAACAGCAGAGGCCTATCCCAGTGTGGTCCCAGTGGCGTCTTCTTCTTCTTCTATTCAAAGGTATGAGAGGCCCCGCCACAAACCAGTGAGACATTGGTTCTTCTGTTCAGATTCACCAATATCAGCTTAATGCATGAACTAGGGGGCTATCTTCTTAGCCAATAGAACACAATTTGTAACCTAACAGAGGAAAGCCCTCAGCAAAACATACATCTTAAGGTTTAACGAGGAGCACATATGCCGACTTAGTGCAGCATTATGTGACACAGTACACAAGCCGGGGGCCAACCCCCAAACGTCTTCTTCTGCTTCTCTTCAATTGTATGAGAGGCCCCTCCACAAAACAGTGAGACACTGGTGCTTCTGTTCAGATTCAAAAATAACAGCTTAATGCATGAACTAGAGGGCTATCTTCTTCTTAGCCAACAGGACACACATTGTAACCTAACAGAGGAAAAACCCCTCAGCAAAACATACATCTTAAGGTTTAACGAGGAGCACATATGCCGACTTAGTGCAGCATTATGTGACACAGTACACAAGCCGGGGGCCAACCCCCAAACGTCTTCTTCTGCTTCTCTTCAATGGTATGAGAGGCCCCACCACAAACCAGTGAGACACTGGTGCTTCTGTTCAGATTCAAAAATAACAGCTTAATGCATGAACTAGGGGGCTATCTTCTTCTTAGCCAACAGGACACACATTGTAACCTAACAGAGGAAAAAACCCTCAGGAAAACATACAGTTTTAACGAGGAACAAGCGTGTCGACTTAGGGTCGCATAATGTACGCAGCACCCAAACAGTGCTAAACCCTAAATAGCTTGAGAGCCCCACAGGGATGGAGAAAAACAGAGTCCTTATGTGGTAAACAGTGAGCAGTTTGTTTAGTTTTAAGCAACATATGAACCCTCACCCCCACTGAGACCCTGGTGTGTGAAAAAACAGGGTCCTTAGTTGGTAATGATGTTGCATTCGGGGGGTATGGGTCTCCTATATAGATACAGCCACGGTTCCCTTCTTCACACCCTGGCAGACTGGTGCATCCTCACATTTAAGACATTTCCAGTGAGAGCCAGATGTACTACAAGGGGGGAGCAATGGACCAGATATGTGGTAAGTACTTATTTCATTGTCAAATATATATATATACATATATATATATATATATAAATATACACACACACACACATACATTGGTATAAATTAAAAAAATTAAAAATAGAAAGCTTTAAAGATTGTACTATGTCGAGTGATTCATATTTGTTTTTATATATTTATATATTTTTTTTTAATAGGTATTTATACCTTTTAGAAATAGATGACAGCTCGCATCCTATACATGGGAGTCTTGAAAAACTGGAAAAGGAGATTGCTGCACTCAGTTGTCTACCAACAACGACTACGTGCCCCAACCAGGGAGCTGGCACAGGTAGGGGAAATGACAGTATGATATAAGCTTTCTATATATTTATTATTTGACGAATCATTCAAATGATTTTATAATTCTATGCTCCCCCAGTGAAAAAAAAAAAAGTACATACGGGTGTCCAGTCTGAGAGACCTTCTACAAGGTATGTGACATCATCCATATATATATATATATATATATAGACATTTGTTTTATAACATGTTTTGACCATGTATGCTTGTACAGCAGGGAGCAGATTGACCGGTCTACACCAACAAAGGACACATGGTACTATCCAGAATGTTTGACTGACGAGGAAATGCTGCAGGCGGTCGTTGACTATGAAGAAGAGAGTACTACAATAGGAGCAACATCGGCAGAGTGTGTAACCCCATTTCAACAAAACAGAGCAGGTATACCCACAGAACCCACGGTGGTGATTGTGCACCCGAGGGACACAGCTGACCCCTTATATGTAGAGTTGATAAATGAAATCAGTGAACTGCGGCGTTCCAACACCGCATTAAAAGAGATAGTAACCGATCTATGTAAGAAACAAGAGGAGGCTAGACAAACACAGGACGCCAACGGCTGTTCCATAAAACAATACCTGATAGCTCAGAATGCATCCAGTGAAGCTATCATAGCTCTACTTACAAATAAATTTTATCCAAGGTGATCTACTAGGCATGGTGTCTATAAGGGGTGGTGTCTAAATAAACAATACAGACGTGTAGTATGCCTCCCCCCAGAAAAGTTTTGAAGAGGGGCACGGGTGATATACATCGATCAGGGGATAACCATAATAATAATGATGATGGGTATAGGGTCCTGTTACAGAATACAGAGAAACAGCTTAAAAGCCTTCGTGCACTGGTGGAGAGATCGCGCGTTGATGCTGCTGCTGCTGCTGCTGCTGCATACCCTGCCGAAGCTTTTCATGATGTTGACAGAATTCATTATACGGAACAACATTCATCGTATCTAGACAGCTGCTATGCAGACTTGGTCAGTGTCCTAGACCCAGGGTTTAATACCACAGGCGCAAATAGCCACGTGTTGGATCATGCAGACGGCCCACTTGTGTACACAGACAATGATGCAGGGGCTGGGGGGTGTGTGTTGGCAGAAATATGTGACGACCGGCTGAATCAGATGGGGGCAAATGGAGATGTGGAGCATGAACAGGGTGTTGGGGGGCCTGCTGAGGGTCATGAGGGAGGGTCATGGGAGCAGGCCCGAACAGAAGGGGGGCATGATGATACACTAACAGGAGGAGGAGGGGAGATAATGAGGGGGGGTGAGACCTCCTCAGGCATAGAGGGAAGGACAGTCACCATGAGAGAGATGCCTTCATTCAATGCATTTGAGCTTAGACAAAGGGTTGATTTCAGAAACGTGGATCTTACTGACCTTGAGCAAATCCCCTACATGGTCAGAGAAAGAGTGGCGGGTGTAATTGATAGAGCTGTAGAGGCCTCTCCGGCTGGTAGTGTGCTGAACGTTTTGTTACGGGGACCTTCATTGGCTAGTGACATACAAGCTGTTCTACGCGTAAACGAGTCGTACAACTCTGACTTGTTTATGGAGCAAATTGCACAAGTGATACAGAGCAATGATGAGACTATAACGGATGATGAATTGGAATTAGTGATCACCGTAGCTAAAAACAGAAACGGTGGGGGTTATTTAAAATTAGCAAATGTCCCATATGATGTGATATTATCAAAGAAGGGTCGGTTTCTGCACACCCCTGACAATACTGATAATAACCTGTGCTTTTCGCTCTGTTTAGCACATTTTAATCATCCAGACATGTCCCTGCAAGATAAAGTGATATTTGCAACTCAACTACATAGATCGTTGGGTTTTGGACCAATGCACAAGGTCTCATTCTCCGATGTAGATGCTTTCGAAAGACATCTGGGTGTGAAAATCATAATCTTCCACCATGCAGCAGCAGGTCGTAAACGACTTCAGTGTTTCCAAACCCACGATGCGCCTCATCCCCGGACAGTCTGGTTATATCTACACAATGACCATTATCACCTGATTGAAAACCAGCAAGGCTTTTTTGGGGCAAAACAAGTATGTCAGTATTGCTACCAAGCCTATGAACATCGATTATACCACAGCTGTGAACAGCTGTGTAATGTGTGTTTTACATTAGAGTGTCGTACACAGCTGGGTAAAACACAGAAATGCGGTGATTGTAAACGCATATGTAAGTCGAAATATTGTTTTGATCAGCACAAGCGGCCAGAAAGCGTCCATGCCCTCATCCCCTGTGATGCTATGAAATACTGTGAGGCATGTGGAAAAACATACAAAGCAGGACAAAAAGCGCACAAATGCGCGCCAAAAGTCTGCGTCCACTGTGGTGAGCAACAGTTGGAGAGCAATGATAAACATGAGTGTTTTATTCAGCCTCTTGAAAAGAAAGAGCCGCAAACAACCTACATATTATTTGACTTTGAGACAAGGTTTCATAACGGAAAACACGAGGCAAATTATGTATGTGCTATGGATTTAGAGGGAAAAAAGTTTTGTTTCAGTACTTTGAATTGTGTGGACACCTTTGTGAAGTATTACAGAAGACCTAGATACAAAGGCTACACGTTTATCGCCCACAACGCATCCGGCTTTGACAACTATATTCTGTTGGAATATTTTGTCAAACAAAAGATCACTCCGCAAGTCACCATGAGAGGGAGTCGGGTGATACTGATGTATGACATTTCATACCGGCAGAGATGGATTGACTCATTCAGTTTCCTTCCCATGCGATTGTCAAAAACCCCCGCTGCCCTAGGGTTCAGTGATGTCGAGAAAGGCTATTTTCCCCACAAGTTCAACACCCGGGAGCATGAGTATTATGTCGGTAAATATCCTGATCCGTCCTACTACGGCTTTGACGATATGAGTGATAGCGATAAAGCGACATTCATGGAATGGTATAATGCCGTTTCAGGAGGAACATTTGACTTCCAAAAAGAAATCGGACGCTACTGTGTTAACGATGTAGAAGTGTTGCGAAAAGCCTGCAGCATCTATCGTGAGACATTAATAGTGCACGGAGTTTAGCACGGAGTGCACGGAGCTTGACCCCTTCTCATTTACCACCCTAGCATCCAGCTGCATGGGGGTGTTCAAAACCCTGTTTCTCCCAAAGGACACAGTTGCTCTAACGTTTGAGGGGGCATACACTGCTCAGAATAAGACGTATTCTGATGTATCGATGCAATGGCTTGAATATGTGGCCCTCACAGAGAATATTGAGATTAAACATGCTCTCAATCACGGTGAACAGCTTTTTGAGCCGTTCTATGTGGCTGGCTATAACGCTGTAACAAACACTTGCTATGAATTTGCGGGATGTTTTTTCCACGGATGTGTCAAATGCCACGTCCAGAGCGACATGAACCCTGTTACAAAAATCACCTACGGTAGACAATACAGGGTGTTCATGGACAAAATATATTCTCTACAAAAACAACACGGGCTGCGAGTTGTAGTGATGTGGGAGTGTGAGTGGTCGTCGTTAAAACGGACGAGCGGGGCTGTACAGGCTTTTATGGCTACTTACAAAAAGCGTGAGCGTCTAGAGCCTAGAAAGGCCCTCTTTGGGGGACGTACAAACGCTATGAAGCTGTACCACAAGATCGGTGCTGATGAAAAAATCAGGTACTACGACTTCACCAGTCTTTATCCGACGGTTCAGGCTAAAAAGCAGTATCCAGTTGGACATCCTCAGGTTATCCTGAAGGATTTTGAGTCTATTGACAAGTATTTTGGACTCATAAAGTGCACAGTGCTACCGCCCAGAGGGCTGTTTCACCCGGTCCTACCATACAGATGTCATGACAAACTCATGTTCCCCTTGTGTGGCAAATGTGCTGAGGATTTGAATCAGAGTGGCGAGTGCACTCACGGAGACAGAGACAGACTGCTGGCGGGGGTCTGGGTGTCAATTGAACTGCAGAAGGCTGTGGAAAAGGGATACAGGCTTGTGTCCATTGATGAAGTTTGGCATTTCCCCAACAAAACAGACACATTGTTCAGCGGGTATGTGAAGACATTCATGAAGTGTAAACAGGAAGCGTCAGGCTACCCTGGTCATGTTAAAACCCCCGACGACAAGGAGAAATATGTCAAAGACTATTTTGAAAAGGAAGGCATTCAATTAAACCCTGACAAAATCAGGGTCAACAAAGCCATGAGAAGCTGCAACAAACTCCTCCTAAACTCTTTGTGGGGCCGTTTTAGTATGCGCAATAATATGCCTGCATGCGAGCTGATCACAGATCCGGCTCGGTTCACACAATTGATGTTTAGTGACCACTTTGATGTGCGACAATTCTGTTTTATCTCAGATGACGTGGCTTTGGTACAGTGGCGACATGCAGACGCCCGCGGTTCCCGTATAAAAGACGTAAACGTCTTTATAGGAGCCCTGACAACTGCCCATGCCAGATTGATGCTCTACGACTTGTTAGACAAACTGCAGGAGAGGGTCTTGTACTGTGACACAGACGGCATTGTCTTTACATCGAGAGGGAGCGACTGGGTGCCGCCCCTGGGGGCATATCTTGGTGACCTGACTGATGAGTTAAACAGCAGAGACATATGCGGACTGCCTAGTGAAGACTACATCACAGAGTTTGTATCAGGAGGACCCAAATGCTATGCCTATAACACGGTACAGGGTAAAACAGCTGTCAAATGTAAAGGCGTCACATTAAACGCTAGAAACGCCTCCGTCGTCACCCCCCAGTCACTGATTGGCCTCGTACAGGCTTATGTAACCAATCACAACACACACACTTTGACCACAGTGTCTGAAACTATCAGGCGTGATGAAAAGAAGTTCCATCTTAAAAACGAGACAGTTTTTAAGCAAGTCAGAGTGGTGTACAATAAGCGGAGGGTGTTGTCTGACTATACGACCCTTCCTTATGGATACTAACAGCGATCAAGGATTTGATGCACGACTACAACACCCCTTTAGTTTGGTAGTGAGTGGGCCTTCAAACTGTGGAAAGACTTTTTTTGTCAAGGATATTATTGCAAATGCTGAGAGGGTTATTTCACATTGTATTGACAATGTCGTCTACATTTATTCATGCTGGCAGCCTTTATATGATCAACTGCTTAAAACCAGAGACATTAACTTTGTAGAGGGCTTACCAGAGTCTCTGTGCGATGATGTTTTACTACCTCCTGCCAAAAACAATCTACTCATTATAGACGATTTAATGAATGATGCCGGGAATAATATAGAAGTTCAAAATGTTTTTACCAAATATGTACATCATAGAAATCTCAGCTGTATATATTTAGTACAAAATTTATTTATTCAGGGTAAATCTAGTCGCACTATTAGTTTAAACACCAACTATCTCATTCTGTTTAAAAACCCTAGGGATAAATATCAAATCACACTACTGGCCAGACAGATGTTTCCGGGTAATACTAAATATTTTTTAGAGGCCTTTAATGATGCGACCCAACAATCATATGGCTATCTTCTCATAGATTATAAAGCGTTGACCCCCGAACATTTAAGACTCAGAACGGCTTTGCTATCGGACCAACAGGTTGTGTATATCCCCCAAAAAACAAACAGGCGTTAATAACGCTAAAATGTCATCACGCATGCAGAGGAATTTGTCATTGTTGGAGTTGATATATAAATCTACGCCTCGTGTGCGACGTGTCATTGTTAATAACGCCAGCACGGATTTTATCGACTCTCTGTGTGAGATCGCACTCAATGTATTGAGAGGTAACATTCCTTTGACCGACAAACAATTCGCCCTCTTAAAGAAGAAGAAGAAGATTATCCGGCTGGTGGCGGATAAAAAAGTTAAACAGACCAAGAAGAAAAAGACCCTCAACCAGTCGGGGGGCTTTTTATTACCGTTATTAGGGGCTGCTATTCCGTTTATAATTAGTCTTGTCAATAGGAGGGGCTAAAAATGGAGCACACCCAAAAAATGTTTCTGGTCCCCCAGCATCAGCTTGGCCTAGTAAAGCAGCAGCCTCATTATAAGCAGCAGGATCAACGAGAGTCTATAAGACAGGCGGTGCAAAATGAGCTTGATAGAGCTATGATTGACGTGTTGAATCAACCTGATACAGACATGTACGAAAAAGCCAAAAAATATTCCGTTATTTTACAGAGATTCTTGGCTGTGGTGAGACAGGGAGAGCGTGAGAAGGGGGCGTTGCCTTTACCACTACCCTCCGGTGAAAGTGACTCGGGCTCAAATCCTGTCGTTTCAGCAGATGACGTACCAGGAAAAGATGTGATTTTAGGCAATGTGATCAGGCACATACCTAAAAAAAGTAAAAAACATGCCGAATATATTTTGGATGCTTTGAACCACGCAAAAAACGGCATATCCTGGACAGACCGAGGGGAGATCGTTGTCAACAATCAAACGATCAAAGGCACCCATCTGTATGATCTGGTGAAAAGTGTCACGTCCTCGTATAATGTTTTAGACGAATCTAGACCTATCGGTTGGAAGATATTTTTAAAAACGCTAGCTGATTTAAATATCCCCCTATCCGCTATCCCCAACACGCAGGTTAGGAGGTCTATTGCTGAATATAAGGGTGGTGATGCAGTTTATGACGGGGGTTTTAATGTTTCGGGGTCATTCAAAACAAAAACTAGGACCAGCCGATCTGTAGACAGCACCCCCTTTAAGACACCTAAATCCCTAAAGACCAAATTTTTTAGGAGTGATGATTCGTGGGAAGATTTTTAAGATGTGTTTGGCTATTACTGTGTGACACATGTCTTTTTATTTTTAAGCTTGTACTGGATGCATATTATTTTTATTTTATTTTGTATTATTATTATTTTGTTTTTTAACTTTACACAAGTGTTTGTAATGCTTTTGTATTATCTGTTAGTCTGTTCTTTGTGGATGGAAATAAAATTGGTGTTCACTGCTGAAAGTTGTCTTTATATATTTTATTCATAAAACGTCACAGGATAGTTTATCATTAGATCACACATTGTACACACGTAAAAGCATCCTCACAACACCCTGAGGGTTGGATTTTGTTAACAAAACGACAGACCATCGCATCATTATTGACTAGATTAGGTCCGTACAAAGTTAAAACTCGTGAATAAGACCAGCCTTTTTGTATATAACATAGAAAAAACACACAATGTTGGCCACAGGTTGTAGTAAAATTATTTTGAACCTGTTTCCTACAATAAGACATAGTCGTACAGTTATAATTGAGAAAATTAACTATTTCTTTTGGAAACTGTTCATAATCAGGAGGGTTTCCAAAACTGTCAAAGAAAAAGCCATGCTTGTATTTTGTGATATAAATCGCCAACCAATGCTCTCCGGGGCTGCTGGACGGGTGCGTATTTACAATAGTCATCACCGGATACTTGCGCAAAGCCTTCATAGGCAGCTGGTCACACGCTAACACGCCCATAAAATCGACCCCCCTAACAACCCGTTTTCGAACAATACTCGTCAACTCTATGGTGTTCATGGTGTTTAAAAGTTATCCACCAAGACTTGTCGTTGGTTTGATATCTCGATAACGGAGTCAAAAACAGAATAACATATGATATTTATGGTACGAGGAAGGGCCGTTCTGAAGCGGACCTCCAGGCGCACATTCCCCGTCTTGATTAGTGACACGTTCCCCGACTGCCCGTCGTCAGGCTCCAGATTAAAACAGAACAGCGAGTAACCGTGACCAAAGTCACTCCGTGTTACAGCCAGCGATCTGTCTTTTAAATGTCGACCTGTTGTTTGAATCATGTGGTAATATTCTCTCACGTACTGGCCGCTCTGGAA